AAGTGATGCGTGGAGGAGTTGGCACTGATGCTGGAACCGACTAAGAGATTTCTGCTGTACTGACCCTTGCCAACCCACACTGGAGGGCATAGACAGAGTGCACCATGGAAGAGTACGCCCTTTGTATTTGCGAGTCAATGCGATTGTTTAGCTGGTGACATGTGACTTGTGCTGTGGCTCTACCTTGCGGCCTTGTGAGACTGTGATGGCAAACTGCTGGTCCCATATGGTTAGATGCCATTCCACGTTTGTTACGTTGCCAAATCTCACCACTTTTGCGATTGACGAATTACGGAGAAGAGTTGTGATTCTCTCACCTTTTGATGGCTGCGTCACTTGCTTCCACTTCCCTTCGCTCCCCTTTTCTAGACGTGGTATGGGGAGCACCTACGGAAACATGAGTCTACGCCACTACATCCGGAGAAAGAGAAGGAATTTTTAATTGTTTTTGAAATTCCAACAAAAATCTTAGCTCACAAAAACCCTCTCAGGGATTACAGTCACCGGCGCCTAGTCAATTATCCAAGTGTACAGAGTTGCACGCATTCTGCGCGGTTTTCTTCACTCAAACCATTAACCTTGCAAAACTCATTTGACTTTTAATACTGGCTAATTAAATTAAAAACTTTTAACGAAGTAGAGGATGACATGTAATTGACACTTACTTTATCACCATAGCGTCCCTGCTGGCGATTTTACCACCAACTTTTGCAGTTACTGTCTACAGAGGATTCTTTCATCCTGCTGTTCCTTCCTCATTTTATAATAAATACAAGCGATTATTTTTTTTGCTCAGGCTTCTGGAAAGATAAGGCCAACCCGAAAGACAGGCGATGTAACACTGACAGTCAGTCCTAGCGAAAGGATAAAGTAACCTCCAACAAAGTATATATTTCGACGAGCCATTTGTGAGGTTTTTTACCCATTCCATTCCGAGTTAGCAGCAGCCAGTCTGATGGCCTTTTGGAGCGCTTTGCATTTGTTGCACCAACGTTACCCCTCTCATTCATCATAAATATAACACCGGAATGACGTCAGTCACTTTTAAAAGGCCTGATCATGTCCTATAGCCACCATTTTCCGCTGAAATATTCATCCCTGGCATAATATCCACCAAAAAGATATGTATTATTGCTCATTTATCACCCCTATTGAGCCTTTCTTCAAGGCAAAGCCCCATTGTTGGCTGTTTCCCTCAAGGCCACACCGACACCCTCTGACGGCAGGAAACTTTAAGGAGTGGTGTATCATAGTAACAATATCTTGTAAAATCAGAATCGCGTGATGATTAATAAGGTAGTGATTTGGCAAATCACCCAATTCTGGGTACCGCATAAATGATAATAAAAAATATTCAATCTTGCGTTTAAACGTTGTATTATCAGTTCCACCAATAAGGAAACGCGTCCCTCAAGTCGTAACCAATAAAATTAAAGCAGTTTAATCGCACTGACCAATAAGCGTGGCGAATTCAGCACAAAAAACGCACCACTAATCAATTCACGAGGAACTAATACAAAATTACCAGACTTACTAAAAGGAATTGAAGAAATCCCTGCCTTTTTTGCTTGTACGCATTTATTTAGTTTTATTTATTTTATTTAGTTAAATGAGTCGGAGATGAGAATTATCGGTACTGCAACCAAATCAAGTAAACAAAGAGTCGCGATGAGGCTATTTTAATCTTTACTGCTGCTGCCTAAATGAGATCATTCCTTCAACTTGCTGACTTTCCTTTCCGCCCACATTCAATGTGTAGTTTACCGCAGCAAATAATAAGAAAAGATTGCAAATCCATACATGGGCAATAATCAGGGGAGAGTAAATTATGCGTCTACTCGTGGGTCTTTAAGAAAGGCAAATCTGTTTCGAAAATGTCATTAGAATGCATTATTGACGTCGCTCAGATAACTTGATCCTTGCCAATTTAAAGTGTCGTTACTATTGGTTAGAAATCAATCCAATCATTGCTCAGTAAACGGACCTATCACAATGCTTAGTTGAATCATTCTAAAATGTGACTGGTAGAAGATCGTCCAAGCTGTTGATGGCAAATAATTAGGTCAATGTAGCAGGAGGGTGACTAAGTCTGGTCACTTGCTTTCTACGTTCCTATCCCTCTCGTTTTGGTTGTCTTGTTCATCAGATGTGTCTAATGTGCAGTAGTCGGTGGGCAAGTTGGCCGGTCCGTCAGTCAGTGTTCAGTGGAGCATGTGAAATCAAATTGACATCACAAAAGATTGGATGCATGGGCGCGGCCTAGAGTAGATCCCCACCAAAGACGGGTAATGTCCAAGCAAATTTCAAATGATCTTTGTCAAGGACATTTTTAAATCCCCTACCCTGGTGAAACCATTCACACATAAATGGCTCAGATATTCAACACTGTAAACAATGTTTTATGGCCTTGTAGATAACGTAATTGCTAGGTAAAAAGTGTGTCGAGATGTTGTTCTCCAACGCCATCTATCTAAAAAAGACCAAGAGACTTCTCTTCCATGGACGAAAGAAAGCAGTTGGAACATAAACCAGTACCAGTAATAAAAAGATTTGAATTAACGCCTAATTTTACACCTGAATGAAAGGAATCATCAAGGTGTGCGCCCTTGTGAGTGGGTTTCCCTCCATCGATGTGATGCTCTCGTGACATGTTTAAGATATGTTCTTCTGGGCGTCAGGCGGCAGCATTGTTGGACTTGACAAAGTGTTTAATTATTGAGCTGGAACAAAAGATTTGTCTCTGCTGACTTTATGATAACCTAAGTGACAACATAATGATACGATTGGGATCTAAAAACACGTTTCTGTGTTGTCAAATCAGCAAAATCTTGGAATGCAAGACAGAACCAATCACAGCGGTCCCTTTTGCTGCCCAGGTTCACGTTGATTCAGTCCATCTCGGATGGACTTGCCGCCCTCCAACCGGATAGGTGTACCTTTCTCAATTTTTCGAAAAAGCTGCGAGACTACTGACATGGCCCGGAGACAATGCCACTGAGCAAAGTACAATGGCGGAGCGTATTCCGTCTTTTACCTTTGTGCGTCATCTTAGCCACTCTTCTTTGCCAATCTCCCACATCGGCCACCGCAACATACAGGCTGTATAACGCCACCAGCTGCGCCAGTTGTTGAATTTGCGTGCAACTGCAAATATATCTAACTTCGGCGTTACTGATCTTTCTTAACCATCCCTCTTAATCTGGACCATTGCCTTTTTTGGAAGGTGTATTGTGGGCGGAGGGAATGGGAAATGTGCTGACTATCTCGTACGTCTATCAGCAGCCGTAGGTTTACTAAGGCAAATGCAGTCATTTACAAGAGACGAAGTTTAAAGTAGTTTTGTGAAAGGCTAGATTTCCCCCTTTTTTTGCCTTGTTACTTATTTATCACTTCAGTGCTGCCTAGCCGATCGTCAGTCCGGACATTATCCGGCTGGTAGAGGGGCGGAGGAGGAGGTATTGCGTGTTTACTTAATTGATATCTTTATGCAAGGACAGCAGATAGATCTGGAGCCAAATTTTTTTAATGTTTACAGGCAATGGTACTAGTTTTTCTACAGAATAGAGGATGTCTTTTTCAACGCCTCTGTTGGGAGTCTTTACGAATTCTTCCATTCGCAAACATTTAGCATTCTGCAATAGAAATCAAGATAATTGCCCATTAGGATAGATCTCGCGTTTCACTATCAACGATGTAGAAGTTTAAGTCTTTCAGAATGACTAAGGGACTACTGACATTACCCAGGGCCAATGTTGTCATGGTGGTGCCCTAAGTGCCCGCGGAATCAAAACGCCGAATTAATTTTCTAACTTCATACGAATCCAGGTGAGGGAAAAAGAGAGTCCACCTGCTCCTATTCAATGTAAAGTGGTGAACTTATGGCTTCTCTTACTCTTGCGAAGTAAATCATAGTGTTTAGCTCAGTTGTGTCTTTGGAACCTGCGATTGTCACTGGACGAAGATATTTCAGCACAGGAGAGTAAGAGATTATAAATCGACTAGCTGGTCGTTTGGACGTAAAAAGGACTTTAACTGAACAAATCAGTGGCTGAGATTCATTTTAAACACCCGCGTAGCCGCATTACTCCCGTATGATGCATATTGAAAGGAGGGTGGGACTATGCTACTTAATATCTGATAGTAGACCCACTCGATTCCTTTAAAAAGTCATCGTACCTTATTACGCTCTTTCAACCGATGGCCTTACATTTTATTTTTTTTTATTAATTGCGGCCATTTCCATTTTGCTCAAGTACACATACACGCTGGTCTCAGCGCGGACCAAACACGTTCATCTTGTACACTAGCAACAGGACATTCTTTTATGTTGATACACCTTATTACTGTCTCAGCGAAGGCTTGGAGATAAATAGATACAACAGAATGATTGTTCATTTTGCCTCATCTCTATGATGAATAATTGAGAGGGTGTATGGCGCGATTTCAGGGATCTTATCATGAAGCAGTAAATAAATCGCTTCGTACCGACTATTTCTCGAGCATGACGAATTCATCTGAGAAAAAATTGCATAATCAGTTTGGCAATGGACAAGAGTTCAATTGGTTATCCGCATTCCTGTCTGTCCACAATCTCGTAGACGTGCTCACCCAAGGGCATTAAATTTGTTCTTTAAACAAAAGGGAGCATTAAACCCCCTTGCCGAACTACCAATCGGGTTTTGAGTAGTGCGGCGACTTGGTCGCTGTGCCCGACTGCCTTCGATTTGCGCGCCTGTGACTCACGGGCGTCATGTGCGCACGCACGACGAACGCAAAAGGCTGAGAACCGAACCTCGGATTCGGTGGGAAGACAAGGTCTGGGATTGTGCGTGCAACATTCCCCAATAAATCGATTTTTTGAAAGATAACATTCTCATCCCTTTGGTGCTAAAAGTGCAAATGTTGACTTTGATTTGAGGGCTAGAGGTACAATAAATTTAGCAGTCAATTGGTGGGCGAAGAAAGGTACACTAGTTTTTGTTTGCCTATTGGACTGCTTCCGCTGTGCTGTTGGGATGTGGTTTGATGCGTCTAAGACTGCTTGTAAAAAAATGGGATGCACCTGTTCCCACCTAATCATAGAAGTAGTCTGCCTTGCTCTTCTGCGAATTTCTCCGAGAAACAGCAAGTCTTTGCAGCGAGCTGTAGGGCAAACAGCATTAATTTTCCTCCCACCGGATGGATTGAAGGAGTTTCAGAAGGCTTCTGCGACCTGAGGTGCTAAGGGACCCAACATCCGTGCTGAGCGACGCCACAGCTCCTAAGCCCCCCGCCGCCACCTCAGAGCTACTTAACCCTCCTACTGTTGACCCCACAAAGTACTGCAGCATCCAACTCTCTGTGCTTTGCTTTAGGTTCCTCGTGAATCTCATAGCCCTCCTCACTTCCACGATAAAAGTCCTTGTACCGTAAGAGCACCCGACCGGTCAGACCAAAACAGCCAAGCGACCTGACCACTCACTACCACTCCCACTGGCTCCCTCTACACCCCAAAACCGCACCCACAATTTAAAGGAATGATGAATCGACAAAAAAATTGTTTCCTATTCACAATCAACCCCCTACTAATCGCTGTCATGCAAAAAAAGTGGCATCACATGCAGAAATAATGATAACCAAGAGTGTACTTTGACAAATACTGAATAATCACAAAGGATATTGGAGTGAGTCAACACCATCCGGACCCCGCTGAGAGGACTCGGAGTCTCCCTTCCCATTGGCCAGTCGCAGAGCTTGCAGGTCAACATCAAGGTAGACAATGTCCTGTATTGAGGAGACGACCTTCAAATGACACTTATCACCGGGGGCCTAAAAACAGGAGAGAAAGAGATGAGTCAAGACTACTGAGCATCATGATTTACTTCTGCATGGAAAGAACGCATGACTTTCCAAGGTCATCGCGACCTGATTGGTTGAGCCACCGTGGCGACCAGCCAATCGGAAGACGAGAACGTGCCTTTTTGGCTCGACAATCAGTGAAACTACTTCAACGACCATTTTGTAAATATTTATTCGTCTACTAGAGTCAAAAAACCAGCCAAAGGTCACATAAACCCCGACTGGAGGTGAGTGTATCCAGACGGAGCCGAAACTCGAATTCAGAAATCCTGGAACCTTCGGCCTTAAGTTTTCCTCAATCTGTTGCGAGGCCAATCCAACTCTTTTTGTGGTCGTGGTCACAGTTGACGGGACGTCTGTGACATACCACATCTGCCAATCGGCTAGGGCCTATTCTGGGGGGATTAACTTTCTGAATGAAGAAGGTGAAGACAGTCCAACAGAGGTGAAGTAATGCATCTTTTATGGACGACAAAGCACCGATCCCTCATTTTCGGATATGGGAAAGACGCGCAATAAAGAGCCACAAAGGAATCAGTTTAGGGGAGTGTGCTTCGGAAAGCGGAGCACCATTACAGATTTGACCTTGACAAGGGTTTCGAGGAGCCTTTTGATTCCCTATTACCGCATTGTGTACGAATTCAACTACGGACACCGCTAATACCAACCCGACCTCCATTAACGCATGATTCTTCCTCCACCTTCTGCCTTGGAGCATGATTTACCTCTTTGTCTCTGCGTCATGAAGGGAGGAAGGGGGACAGTGAGGGTGTTGTGTTCCTAGTGCTCGATCTTTGAAGGCAGTAGCCCCTGTCGCTTGATGTAAAGAAAGGGGAAATGAGGTTAATCTTGCCATCAATGTCTAGGCGGCTTTTGAGTTTGCCGTGATCCTAGAGACGGCCCGGTTTCTCAGTCCTGTCTACTACCATCTAGGCGTAAAAGTGGCCAGCTTAACATTTGACACCTGACACTTTACGGAGTACCGCCTTCTTCACACCGTTTGGTGAAATGTATACAAAAAACGCCAACTACCATTGGCAGGTTAAACGCCCCTTTTTGAAATGTTCTACTACCGCCATGGACTCCAATTTTGCGGGCCAGACGACTGGAAGATAGTGATGCTTCCTCAGCTCATGCAGCGAATGCCTCTCCCCGTCACTCCAATAGGAACATGTGACTCAGTGCCGTCCAGCAATGGTCCTTCTCCACGTAATTTCTGTCGGAATTTCGTCCTTTCCCTTCCTAACAGTCAATATCACTTGACCTACTTCGTTTTAACCTTTCGGAAGGTGAATTTTTTAATCCTACCCAGAGGTCAAATTCCAATTTGTCTGGAATGTGTCCATGCACTACTGAGTGGACTGACAATTTGCACCATCCATTCGGCTACAACTCCAGCCGGACCTCGGACCTTACGGAAACCATCAAAGGATCGGAGTAGGAGAAGCACCGACTTTTACAGTTTGGCGAGGCATTTTGAATACCTCCATTGGATCCTACTGACCTGGTACATCGAGTAGGCCTTCAAATCTCTCTGCCTCTATACCATTAAGACACCAATTTTGAAAACCTCATTCCTGAGTTGCCCAAGTGGCTTTCCCTCCGAAAGATGTATTGAAATAATGGATGGATGAAGTGATGGGTTTTCCCTTAATACAAAGACTTTAAAATGGCAAGTGAGCAAACCATAGTACTGAAGGAAGGCCATTCAACCAACCTGGAATATTTGCATTGTATTGGTATTTCCTTGGCCGGCCATTGAGCCAGTGACAATGATGACATTATCATGTGGACGGATAATGCCATCAGCACGAGCGGAATCAAGTGCTGTGTTAAGTCGTAGATCCATGCCCTCCGACCAATTCTCCAGCTGTTCGCCTAACTCACCAAGACGAAAATTTAAATCAAACGTTGACGTTAGTCTCAAGAGAGCGAGAGGAGGAGGGGGAGGGAAGGGGAGGAACTCACCACAAGTCTTGCATCGACTGGATTTAAATTGGTCTAGAAAAATCCCCGATTTGTTGGAAATTTGAACCCAAATCGCGATGAAGGACCAACAGAAGGGAGTCCATCAGTGAGTCCATAACGCTCCCAACACTCAAAAATTGACATGACAAAGGAGGGGGAGAGTAACGAATGCCACTTGCATAATTATCACTGTCTCAACCACTCAAAACCGTGATAAAAGACTGTCCATCGGAGAAGTGTCTTGCTACGATGAACCGCTAATAATTTTTGAGATTTGGGTTAAACCTGGCGAATGTCTGCTGGTCGAGAGATTCTCGTTGTGTTGTTTTCGACCGAAATGTTGATTGAACCAGAACTAATGCGATTTAAGCTGGTCCTTCTGTGATAGCAGAACGTTATTTTGTAATATTACACCGATAGATGATGTTTAGGAAGACCCTCGACAAGAACAACAACTGTGAGGGGTAAGTGGTGGAAGCTCATGGGTACCACCAACATTAATGCATGACTGGAGGTCCAAAAAGCCATCAACATCTCCCCCCTTTCTACCCTATCTTTGCATCGCTCTTCAGATTATTTCCTGATTGACTCGTGATAAGGAGGTATTGCAAGGCCATTCGTTACCCCAAATAATTCACTCACTGGCGACCCCACAGCTCATCCTTAGAAAACTGTATGGTGAACCGTGGACGAAACGGAGATTTATCGGCCCTGAATTAATTCAAACACACGTAAGAAAACGTTTTCCTTCACTCAAGACACCGCAACGCTTTGTCGACGCAAAACCTGCTCATGAGAAGACCTATTGCTGGATTTGATGAGGGGAGACGGAAGGGAGATGCTGCCTCAGTCACGCCATTAGGCGGGGAACAGAAGGGACGTCATTCTGATGTGGCTTGAGCAGTCTATACCTCAGAAAACCAAACACGATGCTCTGACTGTAGAGCCCGAGACCTTCGCCTGTTTCAATAGGACTGGGTTCCCTTCCCATTCAGAGTGCAGTCCCTATTGCCCCACACGTTGGTGCGCAGGCCTCTGATGATCGAGTAGTCGGTTTGTCACCGAAGCTTGAAGATTTCCAATCCAACAATGGCTAAGCCGCGATCCACAGTCGTCCTGAGATGATGTCCTCCTTTAACACCCCTCTCAGATGCTCTGAGAGGAGGCCGTGGAAGATGGTGCAGACATCCGCTTTCACGATTACCTACTGTCAGACACATCTCATTTGCGGTGTAAGGTCGTATCATCTCGTCAACCGGGTTGCAGGATCCCCGCAATGTGATGGGTTTCGTTCCGACATTTAAAGTGCTCATCAAGTCATGAGTCGGGACAACTACTGTGCAATTTGCACGTCCACAACATGTCAAGAACTCTCTGACGATAGCTACTGGAACGACAAACCCCCCAGAGACCAGGATGAATATACCCGTAAGGGAGAGGGAGTAAAAGGAGCCGAACTTTCTCCCTTCCGGAGGGAACGTGGGGAAAAGAAGCCAGACGATAGCTTGGAGGATGCCATAAACACATTTTGGCTTCAACGGTTATCACCAGAAGAATCTTCCCGAAGGCGACAGAAGTTGCACTGTTGTTGTGGCAATGTTTGAATTCACCTTTATGATTCATTTATCCAGAAGTGCTACAACATGTGGAGACAGTGAGAGTAGGCGCAATCTTCGAGCCTCTGGATACTTTCAAGGTGACTCAGGTTACTAAAGCAATCATGAGGGGCATCAAGTGGGGTGAAGTAATCACTTAAGGAGCAGTTTGATGAACATAGGGGTGAGGAGAGGAGAGGATGCATAGTGCGACCCCACAAATCTCCTTCAGATGAAACATACCCGAGTCCATACGAGATGGATACCTACTACGAACTATCTGACGCATTCCTGTAGCATTAGCAGAAGTTTCCGGGGCATGTTTACCGACTTCAACAAGGCAGATGAAGAAATCGACATTCCATCTTAATCTTTCCTGCCTCACCGCGTCAACAGTGAATAAGTGTTGAAGCACCACAAAAAGAGGCTATACACAGGCGTATAGCCCTTAAAGGCTGGTCATAACGCCTCTAGAAGTATCAACGGGCAGAAGAACATCCAAATCAGGCAGATTTTATCCATTTGTCAATAACGTCACATATGTGTGACGCGTGAATCTTCTTAGCTGAACCCGCATCTAATGCAAAAGTGAATCATATTGGACAAGAAAAAACGATTGAATCAGCCTTAATTTGTGCCGTATTGTGCCAAAAAAGCATCCGAGATAAAGCAGTTATTTTCCCTACAAGACTGACTCTAAGTGGCCGTGTCTAGAGGGAATACTGTCCGATGACACGCCAATGAGGCAACGCGCCGGTGTAGACAAAAGCGTCACCTCAAAACTCAACTTCAACCTTCGCAAAAGGTAATTGAGAGTTTCAAAAGGCGGTGAAAGTCTTAACTCCACACAGGTGGAAGGCTAGGACGTACCGGTGTAGACGAAAGGAAAGAGTCCCCTATAGGCCCGACAGTGACGAGCGACTCGAGGATATCGTGTGATCGCGATCACCGGGCAACAAGGACCGGCGGTGGCTATGGCGACGGCAGATCTGAATGTAGAAAACGGTTTTAAATAAAATCGGTTAGTTCTTCTACGATTAGTCGCTTCACTCCGAGATTAGGCTGAGGCATCTCTTTCGCCAAAATTGCAAGACTGCTCAGAACTTGTCAAGGAGATAAATTGACAATGATAAGCGTGGAATGGCCGAGGAATTAATCCAAAGGGAGTCCAAGGGGTTACAATACGTGACCTTTTGTGTGGAAAACCTTCGCCTTTGACAAGTTACTTGGCAATCCTCCTGCCTCATCTTTTCCGGAGAATGTCCAAGTGCACGGAATGGCTAGGTGCTGTGGCTTGGAGACCGTCTCCATGAACCACAGCATCATGGGCAGATCCTAAACTCTTCTTCCGCTTTATCCATTATTTGGAGAGTGGGCTCTATTAGTCACATACTGGAGGTGAGAAGGAAGAAGATGAGGCGGTATCTGCCCCAGTCTCTCCCTCCCACCTCCAACCACCGGTATGAGGTCTCCCCCACCTCCCACCTGGGTAGTACTCAAGGGGATTTCCTTGAAAGTTGAATTGTCTTTGAGAGACAAATTTAAGGCGCAATTGTGTATGATGGCATATACCGCATGAGGAAGCCTAAGCAGCCCATGGTCTCCAAAAGTGGATTCAAAGGCTGCCAAAGAAATTTTTGGAAAGGCATTAAACCCAGAGGTAGTTATTCGCGATTTCTGCAGAAAAAATAAACAAGGGACAGAGTGCAGAGTGTCAGGATAAGATTGCAATCGCCAGGCTGCCTGAGTGAACTTCAGAAATTCATTGAAGCCGGGAACAATTATTCGTCGCTAGAATCGTAAACTTCCTTATCTTCTTCACAGCACGAGTGAATGGGAAATGCAGAGGCGCATATTCATCTCCGACGTGGGAAAAAATAACCACAGCCCCTTTTTAGCCCAAATGAGTAATTCTGCCCAGGAGGGCTAAGACATGCTGGCCACTTTAATACCATCAGAGCGACAAGCACAGCTGAACCTAGGGGAGTCCTACGTTGGATACAAAGTGTTTCGTGCCCGCGCCTCTAGGTCTCATAAAGGACAGTCTTTCTCCCGGGCCTGAGGTTAGACACGCAAGCACACACTGAAGAACTGATCATCTCTTAGTGGGTAACTATCTCCACGGCCCAATAGGCATTTTCTACCATCACGTCCAAACCCGGGGAGTTACAACCGTGTTCAGGTCAAGCCGTGACTTTCCCTCGTTAACAAAGGAACGAATCTCAAGAAGTGAGAACCGCGCCAACATTTTGAACAGCCCAGTGTATAACGAATAATTGAATTAGATTAGATAGAAAAATTGGCCAGTACGGATGAATCACCCTACGACAGTCTGCTGCAATCCGTCACTAGTTACGGCACCCAGTGTGCGTATGCCGGCATCTCAAAATTGGAAATGGTCGTATCCGTTGTTTTTTACCGTTCTCACGTAAAAATTTGTCCATTGTGCAACTGCATGCCTAGCTTACCCATACCAATTACCTAGCACTAAACAAATGGTAACAGGACTGATTTCTGAGGCTGCTAGCTGAAAACGTGACCACCGCTGTTTGGAGTGCCAATGACATACGGCCAGCCGACTTCAACGCCTTCACATCATCCAAAGATCTTGCTCTGACTGAGCAACCCATCGCCTACCACGGATACCCGCGGGCCCCCGTTTTCGTCGACGAAGGATATTGCGCATGCAATCAATACAACTTTCACTCGCCACCTTGATTAACAGTGTCCAGACTAGACTAGTCAACAACATGGGCGATGGCTAAGTATAATAGAAGACAATTAGCATTTACTACCGTGTGGCGTGCCGCCAGGGCAGCACTGGTTTCTTATGCTATGACCACAAGAATAAGTTTCAGGGTTCGACTTCAACTAGCCTCATGAAATCCGTAAATGACCCAAGTGAAAGAGAGTTCAACTTACGCTCCGCTTGTAGTGATGACGAAAATTGCTTTCGCATGGCTATTTACTGCTGCTTCCACAGATGACAATGCCGTGACGTGGGAGACATGCTGTCTGCAGAGGCCCCGCGCCAATCGGCAGGCATTCAGCTCGGCACGGATCGTCTTGTGGAATCGTGACCTCTCCGCCTCACGACAAATCTGACTCATAAACCTCACAGAATCGTGAGGATAAATACCTTCCGCGGTTTCAACAGTCAGAATAAGACCATCTGCTCCATCTAGAACAGCGTTGGCGACATTGGAGGCCTCGGCACGTGTTGGTCTCGGCTTATTGTACATGGATTCTAGAAGCTGAGCAATCACAAAGACAGGCTTTCGCGCCACGTTACAATGTGCAATTATGTATTTTTGCAGTTTGAATATCTTCTCTGGAGGAATTCAATGCCCAAGTCGGCTCGAGAGACAACAAGCCCATCCGAGTGCTCAATCAGCTGAGTAAGACTAGGAAGAGAAACCGTATAGGTTAGTAACGAATGATTCACTTCCTAACTGACTCCTTGGTTTCGATCTTGGCAAAGATTTTCGTGTGTGGAGGCAGTCGAGCTCGAGCATCTAGGATCATTTGAGCGTTGCCCGGGTAGCTGGTAAAAATGAAGTCGACCTCGCATTCAGAGGCGAAGGCTAAGCCTTTCATGTAATTGGCTTCAATGTAGCGATGATACAGCCGCTTGCGGGGTAGAAAAACCCGTTGATAACCACCAATTGGTCCTAGATTTTAAGCAAATCTGCGATTGCCTTTACCCCCTTCCTCAATTAGACACGCAATATGATCCATGCCGACCTCTTTAACGATGAGGCAAATGAGACCATCACCGAAAAAAATGCGATCGCCCTTATAAAGATGATGAATCAACTGAGGAAAGGCGGAGGTATTTATATATATTTGCTCCTTGGTACATTTGTTCTTTAGGCTTTCGTCCATAGTTAGCTCTACCTTGTCGCCCTCTTCAAACATAACCGTTGTCTCAGGACCCTGAAATGAACTGTTATTCCCAGAAAGTAATTAAAACCCCCTCAAAAGACCCTGTTCGCACGCATTCAGCCGCCAAATCCATAACGATTGAGGTACAAAATTTATAATTGGAAAGCTCATCCAATGCGCGAACAATTTTGGTAGCCTTGTGGCACATCTCCCTGGATATGACTCCAATATTCAGCCTCAAGATATTTATCCCGTTACTAATCATCTTACTGATACCATCAACTGTGCACCAGGACTCACCTAGCAAAAATATCGCAATGAAAGTTCCCATACCTAATGTGCAAGCGATGCATGTTGCACGGGGACATTCTGCCACTTGATCAATGTCGAGTTGGCAGGCATGCCCAATGCGAGAGCCGAGCTTTTCTTCCCAATTTCTGGGAACTTCAAAGATCACCTCTGCAGAATGACCGCCGGAGAGGGAAGACGTTACCGCGGGCTCCATAACCGACAGACCAGTAAGTTAAGGTGCGCGCGCGAGCGCAAGGACCTTTACCGTTCGATGTGGGCAAACATTGAGACCAGTAAAGAAGCAAAATGCGGATTGACGAAATCATAAAGTGGGCAGAAAAATGATGCGACATATTTATTTTAACACTATTCATGTGGAGTGATTGGGCCAGTCACTGAATTCGGGTTTACATTGGATCCAAAATTAATTTTTCGTTTGAATAAAGTCATTTTCTTCCGACAAAACTTCAAAAGCTAGGCTTGCCCTAAAATTTGTTATAAATGGGAAAATAACAAATGGTAATACGTAGTAAAACACCGGCCTTAAATTTAGTCCAAGATAAACCCCTGAACCACTCTATCATGGCATGTTCGGCGGTGAAACCACCGGTTGTTCCATCGGTATGAGCAGAGTAATTAGGTGAGACCTTTCTTTATTGGCAGCATCATAATTGGGGTGCAGTGATCAAGGTTAGGCCCGTTCAGATTACACTTCCTTCACGTCGGCGGACGACGTCCGTCCCGTCACATGTTTGTGTTCACTGATCATCTCAAACCTGAAAGACATATTTAAGCAAACATGTGATCCGGTGGACAATAAAACGACCTCAATTATGTGATGAATGGTCGGGAAGGCCTTCAAAGTTGCTACAGATTTGGTTACGCCAAAGTCAAAGAGGGAAGCACATAGACATCCATCTAGTTTGCCTGGGACTTGTCAGGGTGAATGAGAGCCATTTGGAAGCGAACAGGACAGAAAAAAGGAAGGACTACCCAGTCTTGGGTTATATTTTGAAGGACCTGGATACGAGGGTGATGGACTTGGCCTCCCCTTGTGGGTGTTGTAGCGCGGGACGGTAAACACTTACCTTCACTCTTTTATTGTAAAACTGGAGAGCTCGATGAAGGAGCTTCCCGACCACAATGTGTTGGTGAAACCTGCCCCCGAACTGGAAGATTACCCATCTCACGATCCTAGTTAGAGGCAACCCATGGAAAGCCGACCTACTAGGAGTTCTAAGTTCTTAAGTACTCCTCATCTTCTTCAATTTTCGATGGTAATAAAAGAACTCTCTGGTGAGTGTACATTCTTCCTGGCCAATGAAGAGTTGGACTGAGCGTTCCCCTACGTTGGAGAAGAACAAAACGTCTACACCGGCACCTCCCGAAGTCCATACCGTTTTTGAAGGAGGTAGGCTCACAGGTAAGAGAACCTTCAGGCTCTACGCTCCCTATGGGAGTCTTTTCTCTGCCCCGTAGACGCCCATATAACCACGGGAACAGAGAAGAAAGAATGCTGCTCTGCTTAACACCCCTCGTGTTACCGGATCACCGTCCATCCCTTCACCCTAGGACTTCATTTCCTTAATACGGGCCGGCTAATCAGGTATGGGATTTATTTACTGGCAGTATTATGAATGGAGTACAGTGGTCAGAGATGCGCATGCTCTGAGTACACTCCTACCTTGGACGTTAATGCTATCTGTTCCGCAACAAGGTCCATGTTCACAGAAAGCTCCTCACCTAAAAGGTCTATTCAAACAAACACGTGTTACAACACTACGCACTTATGCGTACACATGTGCACTAAAGAATGATAAAACAAGAGGGAAAATATATCGTACAGCAATTAAACTCCGACCAGCTACAGTCACAGAACCCCCCCCCCCCCTAAAAACGATGCATTTGTAATGTGCTCAACCACAAA